GAGCACCACGGCCTCTTCCTCCCGCGCCGCGGCTGCCAGGGGCGCGGTGGCAGGAGGGCGGCCGAGGCGCACGTTGTCCGTGTCAAGCGGTGCTGCGCCTTCTCTCCTCCGCGTGTTGTCTGTACGGTCGGACCGAGGTACGGTCAACTACGCATAGTCAGGGTGAGGTCCTGCAGTCAGGGGACGAATAAGTGGAACCCCTTCGTTTTCGACCCCGTGTTCGCCCCCCCCTTCCCCACAGACTCAAAGTTGGCGCCCGGCCTGCTGGAGGCCCTGGGGGGTCCACTTCCTTTGGAGCCTGTGCTCCCGAGTATCCAGGGTCAACTTTGAACATCTACGGTGGCGTCGCAATGTCTGTCGAGCGGGAAGTTTTCTCATGACTTCGGTCCCAGGACTCTTACAGATCGATCCAGCTCGAAGTTTGGCGCAGAAAGATGGGGTCTAGGGCTCTGGTCGTGACCTTTCACGATGATTCAATTTTTCGCATCGTCGGATCTCAGGGAAGGATGAGCAGCTTTCCGAAGTTACCCTCGCATCCTTGCCCCTTCGGCCCATCCTTGGCCGCTTTCGCTGGCCGCGCCCGACTCGCAATGAGCGTCGGCATGGCTTTCGAGGGCCCTTCGTTCCTTATCGTGCGTCCTCATTATACGGGCTGATTGCACGTGTACTGCTGGACCAAGGGTCCACTCGGGGGGGGTACCTCAATGTTCTTCGTTTGTTGGATGTGTGTGCGCGCCCTTGTTGAGGGTGCCCTCGAATGTTCTGAGGTTTAGCTGGTGGAGGGCCTCATGCTCTTGAAAGATATTTTCTTTTGTTCCAGGTCCAGCAGTTTATGGGCCCTTCGGGGGGCGTTCCGGAAAGGGCCTAGCCGTCGAGGACCGGAGGAGTTGCCAGCTCTTCTTCGGCGGGAGGCGGCGGAAGTACAGCCAAGGGCGGCTGTGCCGCCGGAAGCTCGGCGGCGGACGGCGGGAGTAAAAATTGCACCCCTAGGGATGTCAACACATTTTGGTGATCAGGGTTTCCGGAACCCGCCATGCACGCGCATATATACATGACGAATCTGCCACGCGCAGAGGGGGGCAGGGGGAGGGGGGAAGGCTTCTTAGAAGCATCCCTGCTTCTTAGAAGCCGCGGGCCTTCTTTATGGATGTAAGGCCCGCGCCTTCTAAGAAGCGGCCTCCTTCTAAAGAAGCTTCCCCCCCTCCCCCTACCTCCCTCTGCGCGCCGCCAACAAGATGCGTCACATCAGCTACGGCACATCTAGCCCGCACTACCACGGTCAGCTCACAAGTGCATGGGAAGCGTGTCCAACACACCTGGGAGGCAGAGCGGTAAGGCTGAGTCGCAAGCGCTACGATCTTGCTCAAGAAGCCCCCAAAGGCCCCAAGGGAGGTCTGGACGCGACCCTCAAGGTAGCCAAGACGGGTCAAAGGCGGCACTATGTGACCGTAAGGCGGAGCAGCATGTTTCTTCGATGGCCCAAGGGAGCCCGAAGAGGACTCCCAAGAGGTCCCAAATAGACAGAAGTCATTGACTGTCATAACGTTTTTGTCAGAGCCTCCAAGAGGGCCCAAAAGGCCCAAAAGCTCGCCAGTGCTCATGCCCACAAGGAGCCCAAGACGGCTGAAGAGTGGCCCAAGAGAGCCCGAGAGGGCCGCAGGGCACCCAAAGTGGGCCCGCGGAGGGGCTCCAAACAGCCGACGACAGCTGACTGTTCCATGGGGCCTTTTTGGCCGCTCGAGATAGCCCAGAGAGGTCAGAGACGGCCCAGGAAAGCCTCACGTCGGTCTCGTGAGACCCCCAGGACGGACACACTCGCAACGGCGCAGCACTTTGTGGCGACGCGGCCGTAAAGTGTGTGTGTGTGACCTCTCGTATATGTTCCCTGAGGGCTCTCATGGGGACTTCCTGGGCGGTCTTGAGGCTACTACCTTGGGCTCCTGTCGGGCTCTCTTGGCGCCCTCTTGTTCCGTCTTGGAGCTCTCTTGGGCGTGCCGTCTTGGGCCCCTCTCGGCCGTCTTGGGGGGTCTCTTGGCGTTGCCTTCGGAGCCTTTGGGGGCTCTCTACGGCCGTCTTGGGGCACCCTTGGGCTGCCCTGGGCCGTCAGGGGGGGCTTCTGGGGTCCCTCCGTTGGCTCTTTTGGCCTCTGTTCGGCTCCTTGGAGTCCCTTCTTGAAGCATCTTGAGCCGAGAAGCTTGGGAAATGCAGACTATGCAATGCAAACACCTAAGGGTTCCCATATGGCGCCGTCCATTACGTTCGCGTCACACGGGTTTTGTATCGGAGCGGCGGTCTTGGCCAGCACGGGGTCGCACGGGGCCAACGCGTGGTCACAGCAGCTCCATTGGGCTTCCGAGGGCCCCCCCCCCGAGGGCTCCCGACAGGGGTCGCACAGCATGCCCGCCAACACTGGGGCGTGACCGCCGGAAGTCTGCAACGCTGCAAATGGATGCGGCCATATGCTGTTGCATCAAGTTGGCATTGTCGAACGCAGATTGGCCTCCTCTTCAATAGCTCGGAAGTTTCTTTTGAACTTTGGGTACCGCGTGAGTGGGTGTTTCTTGAAGCAGTGTGTGGCCATCTTGGAGAGCTTTGGAGAGCCCCGGGGAAGATTTGCGCTGCCCAGGCAAGCTCGGGAAAGGAAGGGGAGATGCACGCAGAATTTCATGTTGAGCGGGGGGGCTTCGAAGACTCACAGAAGCCCTACCAGACAGCCCTTAGCGCGGGTGACAGGTCGACATATATCTAATAGCCTTCGGCCCATGCCGCCACCGTGCCTGGGTTGTGGGTATGAAGCCGATTGGATGTTCGTTGGGATCTCGTGGGAGGCCTCTCGGGGGGCCTCTTGGAGGCAGTTTGGACGCCTCTTGGGGGCCGTTTCGAAGCCTCGTATGAGCCTCTTGGGGGCCTCGTGGGGCCTCCTGGGCACCTCTTGAGACCTCCTGGGAGCCTCTTGGGGCGGAAGGCTCGGATGTTCGGTTCGTGTTCCCTCCCTTGGGCCTCGTCTTGGGGCCCTCTTGGGCAGTTTGGGCGCCCTCTTGGAGGCTTCTTGGGCCGTCCTGGGGCGGTCTTAGGGCCTTTCTGGGAGCGTCGGGAAGCCGAAAAAGCGAGAACGCCAAAATCTTTCAAAAACGAAAGGAAAATCAGAGTGAGGGGGCTGAACCGAACGGTCATTCACTGTCCCTGGGTGCGTGGCTGAAGTGGAATTCCGCGAGGCGGATTCTCGTTGTTGTTGTTGTTGTTGGTGGTGGTGGTGGTGTTGTTGTTGTTGTTGGTGGTGGTGGTGTTGTTGTTGTTGTTGTTGGTGTTGTTGTTGTTGTTGTTGTTGTTGTTGTTGTTGTTGTTGTTGTTGTTGTTGTTGTTGTTGTTGTTGTTGTTGTTGTTGTTGTTGTTGTTGTTGTTGTTTGTGTTGTTGTTGTTTGTGTTGCTGTTGCTGTTGCTGTTGCTGTTGTTGTTGCTGTTGTTGTTGGTGGTGGTGGTGGTGTTGCTGGTGTTGTTGTTGGTGTTGCTGTTAATGTTGTTGTTGTTGGTGTTGTTGTTGGTGGTGGTGGTGGTGTTGGTGTTGTTGTTGTTTGTTGTTTGTTGTTTGTTGTTTGTTGTTTGTTGTTGTTTGTTGTTTGTTGTTTGTTGTCGTCGTCCCACCCGCGACCCCCCCCGCGACCCACCCGCGACCCACCCCGCGACCCACCCGCGACCCACCCGCGACCCACCCCGCGACCCACCCCGACCCATCCCGCGACCCACCCGAGACCCCACCCGCGACCCACCCGCGACCCACCCGCGACCCACCCGCGACCCCCCGGCGACCCGACCCGCCCGCGACCCACCCCGCGACCCCCCGGCGACCCGCCCGAGACCCCCCGCGACCCACCCGCGACCCACCCGCGAAGCACCCCGCGACCCACCGCGACCCCCCGCGATCCACCCGCGACCCATCGCGACCCACCCGCGACCTACCCGCGACCCACCCGTGACCCACCCCGCGACCCACCCACAATTTTTCGGCGCCTGCGGCGGGCTTCTTTTGCATTCGTTCCAGGTGGAGAACTTGCGACCCACCCGCGACCCAAACCGCGTTCAGTGTATAAATCAAAATGTTCGGCGCCTGCGGCGGGCTGTTCTTGAATTCTTTCCAGGTGGAGCTGAAGACCCCGCGACCCACCCGCGACCCAAACTACGTTCACTGAACAAGCCAAGAGCGGAGGAGGCGGACGACGACGACGACAACGACGACGACGATGAGGACGAGGACGCGGACGAGGAAGAGGAGGAGGAGGAGGAGGAGGAGGAGGGCGCCATCGACAGGGAAGGTGAGGGCCACGAGGTCCGCCGGCTCGACGCCCGCGTCGCCCGCGCCCGCCCCTTCACTCTTATCCGCAATTGCAGGGTGCTACGTAATTGATTTGGGCCTCTTGGGGCCCTCTTGGGAGGTCTCTTGGGGGCTTCTTTGGGCATCTTAAAGGCCTCTTGGGCCGTTTGGGGGCCATCTTGAGCGTTTTGGAACGCTTGTTCGGCGATTCGAGGTCCTCTTGGACCGTCTTTGGGAGCCTCTTGGGGTCCTCTTGGCCCATCTCAGGGCACTCTTGAGCCCGACTCATTCGTGCGACAACACTTCCCGGAGCCCAGGGGCCACGCGACAAGCCCAAGGAGCACGCGGAAAGCCCTGGGAGATTTGAGAGCGACGAGTCATGGCCTTTCAAAGATTCCTCAGGAGCGAGGAGCGAGGCTGAGAGGATTGGGCCCAGGACCTGAGGACACGCCCACCCTGTGCCCAGAGGCGCGGTGGCGGATTTTCATCGACGGAAGTTGGCGGAAGGACCGCAAAAGCGGGCGGAAGCATAACGAGGACGGTTCCGCCAGCGGAAGCGGGCGGAAGGCCAAGGGAAGCCACCAGGAGTAAAATGTCATCCCCCAAGAGATGCCAGTTCGTTTGGTGCCAGGGCTGATGGAGTCAGCCACACGGGTGGGCTTTCTGCGCCATCTCCCGGAGGCGAGAGAGGCCAGCGGGGCAAGGACACGAGGGCGCTTGGGCCTCGCGCAGGGGGGGGGGGGGAGAGGGCGATACATGCGGGGGGCATCGAGGGCTGCAGAAAAGCGGCCTCAAGGCTTCTCAATGGGGCTTTTTAGAGCCCACAAGGGGGCGGGACTATAGGGCCCGAGAAGTGCACCCCTCTCCCCCCCCCACTTATCGCCACCCAATTAAGCGACGCCCAGGGCGCCTTTCGCGGCGCGGTGTGGGTGGCGTTTTGCCGCCTCTGGAGGGCGCGGTTTCGGTGGGTGGAGCGCCCACGCCCACGCAGAGCCCCGGCACGCCCAGCAGCAAGAGGCAGCCAGCGTGCAAGTTCGGGTGAACGAGGCTCGTGAAAGACGACCAATGGAGAGGAGGCACGTTGCCAAATTATTTCCTGACATACGAGCATGATGTGTCTAAAACATGCGTATATAAGATAGAAAATGTTGCGCACATGTTTGAAGCATGTTCAAAACATGTTTCAAACTGTTGAAGGGCATTGTAAACTCAATGGTAAGACTGTTCGAGTGACCACTATCATGGCATCCAGAAAACGAGGCTCAGGACAAGAAGGGCCCATCAGTTCAACGGGCACCGTATTGCGACAAGGGGCGTTGGGCGCTGGCTGTTGCGCGACGGTCGGGCTTCTGGAGACCCCAGGCGTCGCGATCTTTGCCGCAGTCGGGCCCCAGGGCTCTCTCGAACCCCTCGATATTCCCAGGGAGTGCTTCTTCCTCCCCAGAATCTCTCGAGCAATGAAAAAATTATGGCGGGAGGTTTTTTGCCATTGTCGGCCTTTGGGGACCTTTACCAGGCCTCGGGACCGTCAAAGAACAGTTCGGGATGAAAACCGGTCCCAGGGAATAGGTCGAAACTTCTGGGGGTCGACGTTATGAAAAAACATGGCGTCGGGGGTCTGGGTTTGTGGTCTTTTTCTTGGGGGCCCCTGAGCGCGAAGCGGGCACCCAAGAGGCCGAAGTTGAGGAAGAACGGCCAGGACTGAACAGTATGACTCGTTGGGAGGTTTGGGTTCGTGACGCGGCCCGGGGGGGAAGAGGGCCCCAGGCCGGCGGCCCGAGCATGGCAGCCTGTCTTGTCCGCGGGAGGAGCAGGAGGAGCAGAGAGAGATGGTGGGGTGAGGCGGGGGGAAGGTGGTGAGGCCCAGGGGCGAGGGCCTCTAGCTCGTGGGCGGCCAGAGGCCTGCACCCGCGGACGCAGGTCACGCAGGCTCGTTCCGGGCGGCGCGCACCGTCGGGGCGTGCCGAGGTGGCCTTCGGCCCTCGATTGACCTTCGGCCCGCCGTCCAAAACCTGGCCGAGCTTCTGTCGGGCTATCAAGTCTTGTTGGGCGGCATCCGGGAGGATGAGGCCAGATGATTGACGCCATTTTTGCCATCGGTAGTTCGATCCGCGCTCACTTCACAGCCCTAGTGCCCTAGACGATCGTCGGGCTTCGGTGTGGGCTGCTAACGGCTGCCAGGTTGAGTGTCCTCGACGGCTCCGATTCGAATACGTAGCGCCCTCATACTAAATCACGTTTGACGAGGTCGCGCCAGCCAGAAAAGAAGGCGAGGGTGCTGGCCGAAATTCCGGTCGATGTCGCCCCATGTAAGGGGTGCCGTGGTCCTTGCTTCGGGAAATTCGCCGATTTCGGCCAGAGTTGGGCGCCCAGAAAGGCTCCAAACCGTGGTCCGGCGTCGAGCATGCTTATAGCTAGACCGAACGCGCAGGAAGGAGGAGCGAGAAGGGATGAAGGATGGACAAGGGTGGAGGAAGCAGGAAGGTGGTAGTTGGAAAGAAGAAGGAAGGAGAAATGAAAGAGGAAGGAGGAAGAAAGAAAGCGGAAGGAGGAAAGAGGAAGGAGGAAGAAGAAAGAGGAAGGAAGGAGGAAGGAGGAAGGAACAAGTGAAGGAGGAATTGGGGGACGGAGGAATCAGCAGGAAGGAAAGAGGAAGGAGGATGGAAACAGGGAAGGAGGAATGTGAGGAAGGGACCGGGAGTGGGGACTGGGAGGGTGCCGGGGACGGGGGAGGAGGAGTGGTGGGGAGGGCCAGGGAGGGCAAGAGGAAGGGGGTTGGGGAGAGGCAGAGAGGAGGGAGGGCGCAGCCGGACTGGGAGCTGCCTGCCAGGCACTGTGTGACGCCGCCGCCGCCGCCGCCCTGACCCTAGAAGCTCTTGGAGGTGAGGGGGCAGCGTTGGCGGTGTGCGTCTCCTCTCCTCTCCCGCCCCCCCCCCCCCCGACGTCGGCCCCCAGTGCACAGGCCTACGGCTGGCGCTGTTCCAGAAGCTGTGGCGGCCGAGCAGGCCGAGGTGGTGGTGCGGGCTATGCTGCCAGCCGCGAGGCGGGCGCTGGGATCCTCGAACGACGCGGTCGTCCAGGCGAGCGGCGTCCGGGGAACAGCTGGTGGCCGTAGCAGCAACCCAGGGCTTCCAAAGTACGGCTGGACCGATAAGCATGCGCGATGATGCTTGTCATTGTCAGTTCAGTCCCACCGTCGACTTCGCAGTCTTCCCCTACACGTCGGCTGTTGAAAGTGGGTATTCTGGGATTCCCAGATCCTAATCTACTTCAGGCGCCTTCCCACTTCAATAATCGGATCTCTCTCTCTCTCTCTCTCTCTCTCTCTCTCTCTCTCTCTCTATATATACACATGTGTATACATATATATATATGTACATACATATACATATATATATAACATACATACATACACATATGGTATCCTTCAAAGGGGGTCTATGCTAGCTGCCTAAGTGTGCGCGACGCCGTTGATGGCCACATCTTCCGTAGCTTATTGGCTCAAATAACGCCGACAGCGGCGGCCTGGAGTCCCGCCGCCCTGGCCAGGCCACCACACCCGCCAAACGAAGTTGTCAGCGGCCGAGCGCGGGCCGCCGCCGAGAGGCTGCGCTCGGCAGTGCGGCTTACGCGCGCAGCGCCGCCCCGGGCCGGGGCAGAGTCGAGCGAAGTTCTGACGGGGAGACGAGGATCCACTCGCTGCTCTGGCCCGGGCGGTCGCGAGCTGAATGGCCGCGGCACCGCTGGGGCGCTGGCCGCTGCCTCAGGGATGCTTGCTCGATGCGGCGCTGAACGGACCCCGGCATGCGCCTGCTCTGCAAGGTAAGGGGCGACGACGGGCAACCCCAGGTGACGGACTTGCTTGAGGTAGAGGTCGCCTACCAGTCGGACAGCGCCAAGCGTTTCATCCGCGGGCGCCACTGCGGCGCGAGCGATGGCTACTTCGCATGGTACGCGGCGGAGAGCGGCAGGCCTGGCGCCCGAGCGCCCAACACGCTGTTCCACTCGCGCGCGTGCGGCCAGGCTGCCTGCCCAGCAGTGGGGCCGCCAGGGGTCGCCATCGAGCACATCGACACTTGGATGTTCCTCGACGACCGCGACCTGGAGCGCGAACTGTCGAAGCTGCACGAGCCGCGGGCCAGGCCGGGCGGCCTCGCCCTCGCTGGGCCTGCGCCCCCGCGCGAGGGCGAGCCCTACGCCATGGGGGAGGACGAGGGCGAGGAAACCGCCGGGTACCGACCGCCGCTGCCGCCGCCACTCGAGCCCCCTTCGGACCCGCCACCGCGGGAGCCGCTGGCCAAGCGGGCGCGGCATGCGGGAAGCGGACGGGCCGGCTGCACTGCGACCCCTCCCGAGCCGAGCCCGCTGGACGCCGAGCTCGAGGGCCTCGAGGACGTGGCCGTGGACCCTGGCCTGGACGAGAGGCTTGCGCGCCTGGGCGGCGCGCGCCCGCCGAGAGCCCCTGAGCGTGCGACCCCCAAGCACAGCCCGCGGCCGATTGCCGCGGCGCGGGAGCGGCTCCAACAGGTAGTTACTGCCCGGGGGCGAGGCTGCGGCCGCCAAGCCTGAGCGAGTTAGGCGGGCGGGCAGTCGCGCCAGGCTCGCCTCAGCGATCACGACACCACTTCTCGGGGGCGACGAGGACGATCCCGAGGAGGGCGGGGCCAGCGACACAGAGCGGCTCGCGGGGCGCGAGCAGTGCGAGGGCGTCGGGATCAAGCACGACTTGTTTCGGATGATCGCAAAGGACAAGCCAAGTGCCTTCCTCGAGAACGGCCTCAAGCACTTGCGATGGGCAGTTCACCCAGATGCTGCTCGACGGCGAGGGCGACGCGCTGGCCCCGCGCGCCACGCAGTTCCTCAACACGGTCTTCTTTGTGGCACACCCGCCGCGCACCTTGAGCACCGACGAGGCGCGCACCCTGCGGACGCTGGGCCTCGCGCTGGACGGGCCCCTTCGAAGCAAAGTTGTCGAGGTGGGCGACTTGCTCATGCAGGAGTTCAAGGCGCGGACGCAGGCGGTGCGCGACGGCCACTGGCGCACTGCCCGCTGGCTCAGGAGAGCTGGCCCACTGGGGCCACGCTGGACGAGGAGACGGCGGCCGAGAAGGCCGAAGGTCGCAAGCTCAGATCGCGGACTTCAAGAAGCGACTGCAGGAGCGCCGGCCGGGCTACGGGCTCGGCCGGGAGGCGCTTCCATCCCAGGGGGGGGGGGGGGGCGGCCCCCGCAGGCTTCGGTCTCGCGGAGGCGAGGCCCCGGACCCCGGGGGCTCCTTTAGCGGGCCCGGCCGAGGTGATGCGAATCCTCGCCGGGCGCGTTCCGCCGAGCAGGCGGGCGCCATCCGAGGAGGCGGCCAGGCGGCCCAGCAAGGGGGCGCCAGTCGTCTCTGCGGGCGGCTCGGACAGCGAGGGAGCAGCGACACCCTTGGAGACAGACGGAGCCGAAGCCCCCAGCTGACAGCTGAGCTGGGGGCAGGCGAAGGACCTTGCGCCGAAGCGCGAGGGCGAGTCTCGAGACGCCTGGAAGGCGGCGCGCCCGGCCGCAGCGAGGGGGCCGCCTCCGGCTGCGTGGAGCGAGGCAGCGGGCAAAGGAGCAGGCCGCGGCAAGGGCAAGGCCAAGGGAGAAGCAGCCGGCCCGCAGCGCGCCCCCTGGCGTCGGGCCCGAGCCAGGGCGGCGCCCCGCCCTTCCCCCCACGGGTTCCCAGGGGGAGGAGGGGCACCTGTGAACCAAGGCGGCGCGCCGCTGGGCGCGGAGGAGCGTCGACGGCGGGGCGAAGTGCAGCGCGGGCTCTGGCGGGAGCTCCTCTGCAGCAGCGGCGCTGGAGTTCCCAGAAAGTTAAAGCTCGCCCTGGCCTTCCACGAGGCCGCGCACGGGGCCCCTGGAGCAGTCGGGCGGCATGTCTGGAAGATGTACGCCCCGCCAGTTCCCACGGCGAGCTTCGCGCGGTTGCGCGAGGTGTCGCCGTTGCCAGTGCCCGACGCCCCGTGCTCTGATGGGCCCCTCGAGGCGCAGCTTCGCGGGCAGCCGCCGCCCGCAGCGGAGGTCGACGCCGCCGCAGCTCAGGGCTGGGCGCGGCCGGTCGTCTACAGGCTGAACTACCAGTACGCGGGCCATGCCGAGCGCCCCGCGCCAGCTCCTCTGCGACCCACCGCCGGGCAGTCTTGCGCGGCAAGCTTGCGAGCATTTCGCGCGGGGCGCCGGCGAGGAGATCACGCTGCCCGACTGGCCCAATATCATCGCGGCGAATTCAGGACATCACCCACGGCGGCGAGGAGGCGCCGGCGCCTCCGCCGTCGCTGGACGGCGCGCTGCCTGGCCCCCCTGCGAAGGGCGCGGCGGCGTCAGCCATGGCGCTCGACATCGCGGGCGCGCATGTCGGAGGCAGGCTCGCAGACCCGTCGCTGGCGCTGCCCCCCAGGGCGGAGTGGCCGGCCGAGGTCCCGCGAGCGCCCCGCCAAGTCGAGTCGAAGCAGGAGCGGTACAGCATTGGAGCCAAATTGGTTGAGCTCGGCCTCGCGGCGCCGATCGCCGACAACCGCATCTTTAAGGTCGGCAGCCGCAGGGTGCTTGCCAGCGCCTTCGGCGCGCAGGAGAGCGGCGCGCCCGCGGCCGGCAAGGCGCGCGCGCAGCGGTTCATCATCAATACGGTTCCTGAACAGTTACCAGCGGATCATGCGTGACGACGTCGGGACGCTGAGCGCTTCGCCGTCGTGGGTTGCCGCCCCCGTCCCTGACGGCCACATGCTGCTGTGGTCCTCCGACGACCAGGCCTCCGCGTTCTACTGCCGCGAGCTGCCCGAGGCCTGGTAGCCGTTCATGGCCCTCGCCGGGGCCATTCCGAACGAGCTCATCGGGGTTGCAGGGCCTGGGAAGTTTCATATCGCCTTGCGCGTCATCCCAATTGCTGGGTCAACGCGGTCACGGTGTTCCAGCGCTGCCATCGGCGGCTGGGGATTGGCGCGCGCCCTCTTGCAGCGGGGCCCCCCCGAGCTTGGAGCGGCGGGAGGACAGGCCTCTCCCACTCAAGTCGAAGGATCTGGAGCAGAAGTGGATCCAGTATTACATCGACGACTGGGACCACGGCGAGGTCGTCCACAGCCGTCTCGCGGATGAGCTCGTCGGCACGGCGAGCGAGGCGCAGGCGGAGCAGTGCGAGGCGCGCCACCGCTCGGGCGTCAACGCGGCGCCGGCCAAGGCCAAGCACCGGGCGCTTATTCTGGAGCGGATGGGCGCAGGGCTCGACGGCGAGGTTGGCCGGGTCGGAGTCCCGGTTGAGAAGCTGCACCTGCTGCTGGGCTCCACGCTGTGGGGCATGGGCCAGCTGCGCCTCACCTCGCAGGCCAGTTTCATGTTTCTGGGGCGGTGCGTACGGGCCGCAGGGTTTCGGCGGCCGTTCATGGGCTTCCTTAACGACGTCTGGGCTGCTGGCCAGTGTTGGTGCCCGCAGGCGGCCCCACTCAGCATGTGCGACAAGCTCCTGGGCTTCATGCTGGCGCTGCCGCTGGCACTGACCTGCGGGCTTGGACCGACCCCTGCGTCATCGCCACGGACGCGAGCGAGCGCGCTGGGGGCATCTGCCACACCGCCGGCCTCTCCGAGCAGGGTCTCGCGCGAGCGCGCGTGGCGAGGCCTCTGTGGTCACGCTACGCCTGGGGGCCGTCAGATCCCTGTGAAGGGCGAGCTCTGGCGGCCGCGGATCGCCCTCGTGGAATTGGTCGCTGGTGCTGCTGGCGCTGCCGCGGCGGCCTCAAGGCTTCCAGCCACCGTCGTGGCGCACCGCAGCAGCGAGGTCGACCCCGCGGCGCGGCGGCTCGCGCGGCGGCGCTGGGCCGGCGTCGCCGAGCTGGGGAATGGCAAGGCAATCGACGCCGCGAGGTTCCAGGCCATCCTCGAAGCGCACAGGCACGACGCGGACTGGGTCGCCCTAACCGCAGGTAGCCACTGCCAGGACCTCGCGAGCATCAACGCCGTCGGCGAGGGCCTCGAGGGGCCGAGATCCATGGCTGTTTCGCCGCATCCCCGAGCTCATCCAGGCAGCCGAGGCGGTGTACCCGCAGCGGGTCATGTGGTTCGTGGAGAACGCCTTCAGCATGACCCTCGAGTCGCGGGCCGAGTTCTCGGCGGCGTTGGGTGTCACGCCAGGTTTCGTGGATGCCAGGAGCTTCACCCGCGCCCAGCGCCCGCGCTTGCTCTGGCGCTCCTGAGAGGCGCCGTCGCCCTTGCCAGCCGGCTGCCGCGCTGTCCCCGGGCGCCGCCGCCTACCGCAAGATCGAGCTGGAGGCGCAGCGGCCCCCCTTCACCGCCAGGCTGCACGCGGGGCGGCGGCCGCTGGGTCCTGAGGCGGACTTGCCGTGCTTCGCGCGGCCGATCATCCGGAAGCACCCGCCGCTGCAGCTGGCGGGCCTGGAGCGGGCCTCGGCAGCGTCGAAACAGAGGTGGATCGCGGACGACTGCTGCTACCAGGTCAACAACTACGAGGACTCCAGCCCGCTGTGGGACGCCGCTCGAGAGCGGGGCCAGCTTGCTGACCCCGAGGAGCGCGGCGCGCTGACGGGTTCGATCGCCTGTACTTTCAGGGGGCCGTGAAAGACAGCATCCCACCTGCTGGGCGCGCCGTCGTCATCGAGGGTCTCATTGACAACGCGTATTGCGTCCAGGTTGCGTCGTTCCTTTTCGTTTCGTGGCCGGCTCAAGTGGAAGCGCTGGCAGGGGCTTTTCCAGGGGGGCACTGTCGCGACGGGCGTCTGCGAGGCCAATTGGAACGCGGCCCCCGACTTCCAGCGCCTTGGACACCGCGACCCAGTCCTGGAGCGCAGCCTCATCCTGGAGTTCCTGCGGGTAGCCGACCGCGGGGGCTCGGACGTCAGGTTTGATTCCAGCGCGCCCGAGCGTAGCCGCGGGCCGGGCTGCGCACAAACTTGTGGGCTTGGCGGATCGCTAAGGGCTTCCCCTGGAAGTAGCCGCCCCACATCTCAGCGCTGGAGCTGGAGGCCGCGGTCGCTGGCGCGCGGTGGAAGTGCCGATCGGTGGAGAACCATCGCCGTCGCTACCTGCGCATCCTGGATGCCCAAGCGATCGCCGCCGTCAGCACCAGGGCGCTCCGGCGCCGCAACGCCCTCCACTTCGCGACGGGCGGCGCGACCCGTTGCGCGGCCACTGCGACGCGGACGACGCGCCGGCCAACGCCGACGCGCCGTCGAGGCGGCATTTCGGCATCACAGAAAAGACCACGAGAGTCGCGGCACGGGCAGCAGCGCGCCGGGCGGCTGCGCGGGGTCGGCCGCCCAGGGAGGCCATGGTGACGCCGCTCACGTTGGAGCGGTACCGAGCCGCTGTTGACGAGGTCGTCGACTTCTGGGTGGACGAGCGTCGGGATCCGCGGACGCCAGCCCAGGTCGACGCGGACCTCGCCGCGTTCATCGAGCAGCGGTGGGCTGCCAGAGGCACGCTGTTCGAGGTCAATAATGCGACAGCTGGCGCCTCGAATCCCTTTCCACCTGCGCGAGGCCATCTGCGTGAGAGCTGGCGCCTGGCCAGGGCGTGGCAGCGGCAGGAGCCCGCGAGGCGCGCGCTGCACTAGCTGCGTTGGCTAGGACTTTTGCTGCCGTGAGCCAGCCAGCCGCGGCGGCGGTGCTCGCGGCGGGTTTCGACACGTGCCTCCGCACGCGGCAAGCTCATGACGCTGCGCTGGAGCGACGCGCACCTGCATCCGGCTCGCGGCTACGCAGTCCTGCAGCTCCGGGGGGCCATGAGCCAGCACCAGTCGGGGGCTCGGGAGTTCGTCACGGTGCGGAGCAGGTTCGCCTTTCAGCTGCTGACAAAGGCGAAGGCGTCTGGAGCGGCCCAAGGCGCGTGCCTGGGCATGCCGGCGCTAGCTTCCCACCGCCTCTGTGGCCAGGTGCGCGAGCTACTGGGCTTCGAGGGCTCCAAGCTGACGCTCTACAGCTGGCGGCGTGGTGGCGCATCGGCGGACTTCAAGTCCCACGGCTCGATGGAGCAAAGGTTGCTGCGAGGCCGGTGGGCGTCGGTGCGCACGGCGCGGCTGTGCGTGCAGGACGCAGCTGCCGAGGCCACCACCCTGAACCTCGCGGCGGCGCAGCTGCGCCGTTGCCAGGCCTTGGCGCTGCGGCCGAAGCAGAGTGCAGGCTAAAACGTGCGGCGCCTGGACTTGCCTATTCTTTTGCTGAGCACAGGTGCCCAAAGGGGGGGTTAGGACACCTGCGAAAGGAGTTGCGAGTTGCCCTGTCTGTCCCCCCCTCTCTCCTCGCACCCGTGCTCCAAATTTCAAGGAGTGTTCATTACAGCAAATTGCAAATGTAGGCGGCTGTAGCCAGCAGGGGGTCCGTGGAGGCCTTGACTGCGAACGGCCCCCGGCGCGCTGTGTAGGCTTATCTCCAGTCGTACAGCAGGGTCCGTTGTGTACACGGCGCACGAGATTGGACCAGCAGTTCGTCGGGGGGCCCAGTAGTTGAGTTCCCAGGGCTTCTAAAGAGCTCCCTGGCGGAGCGCCCACAAATAGAGCAGAGTTTGGCATATGGTATTCTTCAAAGGGGGACTATGCTAGCTGCCTAAGTGAGCGCGACGCCGCTGATGACCACATCTTCCGGAGTTTGTTGGACCACCCTACAGACAGGGAGTTTCTTTCACTTCCAGCGTTCTAGTGGCACGCTGCGGCCTGGAGCCTTCACGTGCGTGAGTTAGTCCTGAGAGAGCTTGACTGCGAACGGCCCACGGCGCGCTGTGCAGGCCTATCTCCAGTCGTGCAGCAGGGTCCGATGTGCACACGGCGTGCGAGATTGGTCCAGCAGTTCACCAGGGGGCCCAGTAGTTGAGTTCCCAGGGCTTCTGGTCTAAACAGCTCCCTGGTGGAGCGCACAAACATAGGGCAGAGATTCGCACACATATATGTGTGTATAAATGTGTATATATGTGTATATGTATACATGCGAATGTTTGCTGTGGTTTGTTATTCAGTGAAAGGCCTGGATCAAATCCGCTTCGTCCGCCTTCCTACTTCATGGTTTCACTTGCCTCGCCTGACCGACGTTTATTCTGCTCTGGGTAATAAGAACCTCCTCCCGAGCAGCTGGGCCAGCGGTTCTTGCCCGACTTGCCGAAAAGCTGGCCCAATTTGATGAGCACAACCGCCCCTCCAGCGTGAACAACAGAAGTTGGCCGAGGCTTTGTTTAAGAAACCTCGGAGAATCTGTCCCAGTTTCCTAAAATGATGTGGTTATTGATCAGACTTTCGGCTGTAAGCGTGGGCGTACCCCCTGCACACCGCGGGTCCTTTTTGGCCCTGCAATGTTTGCCCGCGGCGGGGGGTGATGCTGGACTGTCGGCGGGGGTGGCGCCCCCCCCCAACACTTAGCCGTCGGTTGTGAAAGTAGATCTTTTTGGATCCTCAAATTCCACTCTACCCGGGGGGGGGTCCTCCCGCATTTGGTATCGTTCGAGCGTGTGCATTCGTTCTCGGCGGGGACCATCGAGGAGCATCCTGGATCATCGGGCGAGAAATCAACGCACGAAACCGAAATATGCACGGGGAGTGGACGTCCGAACGATGACGAGGGGGGGGTCTTTGGCGCGGCAATGGTTGCCAGCGGCGGGGGTCGATTTGGGACTGTCTGCGAGGCCCCCCCCCTTATTCTATGAGCGAGAAAAAGACGTACACGTACATGGACCCACGTTATTTTCGAAAGTACGCATCGCGCGAACGGTCGTAACACGAGGCTGATCTCGCGGACTGGGGAGCCGTATTCATGTACGTGGTTGCGCGCGTACGTCCTTTGGTTTTGCGCGTACGCAGAGCATGCAGCTTGGGACGCGTCAAGCACAGCCCAGTCTGGCGGCCTAGGCGGTGGGAAAGCTGCACGTGCCACGAATCGGGGGGCGCCGCGGCGCTGCTGCGGCGGCAGGAGGGTCAGATTCGTGGGGGTGGTCTGTGAAAGCGGCCGCGCTCCCCCGCACTGCTCCCACTGGTCGCCGGGGCAGCACTGGGCGGGTCACATGTTCGGGGGGGTGACGCATCGATTCCCAAATCGCCCACTCCTCGCCGAGAGGGGCCCGATAGCCCACCCGCCCCGGACCGTGCCGCTTCGCTGTTGGGGGCCAATCGCCGATCCATCTGCGGTGTATCGCCGATTCCCAGTCGATGTTTCCCCCCAGCCTGAGGGTGGTTCCTGGATCCAAGGAAGCGCAAGCATGGATCAGCGACGCGTGGATTCAAGCGACGTGGCCCATTCCCGTACAGAAACGGCGCGCTCCCTCGCCAAATGAGGCGGCGCGTGCTTCGTGTTCCAAGGGGTAGTTTTCCCGATCCGTGGATCTGGCGCCCACGCGCCAGATCGATGGATCTCCAATGCATGTCAGCATGTGCCCGATAATTACATATATACACATGGATACATCAACATCTATATAGTTATATCTATATGTATACATAATTCCCCTCCGGCGTTCGACCCCACGCTATCCGCGACATTGTCAGACCAGGACGGGTTTGTTCAGTCTAGTGTCCTCGCTATTGGCATGGCCATTGTTTGCCACAGAGCCACCGAACGGACCTTGAATGCGTGGCACTTCAGGGCTGCATGGTACTTCAAGGGCGTATTGCTTGTTAAATGTTGCCGCCCTCCTACAGCCCCCTACAACGCTGCCCTCCTACAGCCACGCCAGATCTCCAGACTCTGCTTCGTGCACTGCCATCTAGACTCGGCCTCATCAGCCGCTTCTTTCCTACTCGTCGCTCTTGGCATATCCAGCCACCCTGGTGCTTCCAATCTCGCCAGCGCTTCCCACAATCTTATCCGATACAATTGCTCCAGCGCCTCGAGTCCATCTGGGCTCTCGCATGCCATCCCCGCCTTCACTTGCAGGGTCCACAAATTCCGCATCGTCTAACTTCCCTAGCCCTTTCAGCCTCTCGACACCCACCTCCCTCTTCCTGCCCCTAAAGCACGTTCAGCCCCGCTAGCCCCATCCAGCCCCCTCGGCGTATGCCGCATCTTAGACCTGATCGACATCATTGCCCGGACACCCCTCCCCGGTGTGAGGCATCGCTGGATTCCATGCGACGGGTGGAGCGGATGTTCGGCAGAGGCGCCTTGGACAAGCACCTCGAGATTTTCGCGGAGGCCATTGCGAAGCAGAGCTCGGCGCCCGGCGGCGGCAGCCGCGCAGGCGTGCGACCGACGAAACATCCCCCAGGGGCAACATCCGGGAGAAGGGGGGATCACACTTGGGAGGTCGCCAGCTCCTCACGAGGATCGAGGTTCGAGGACCGTCTCTCTCCGGGCGCCAGCGTTGCTGGCGGCGTGCTTGCACGAACAAGTGCAGAGCTTCGCCGTGGAGTTGGTGCGCGACCTCGGCTTGGGCCGCCATTGGCGAGGCGCCTTCTTGTCGCGGGCGCGCGCTGCCACAGCCGAGCAATTGGCGCCCAGCCTCGTTCGGCAGCGTTCTGGTATTGCTAGGAGGCCGGGAAGCGAGAAGATATCCGCCCCCATGCCTCGTCGTTTCCTTTCTTGAGTCCGCTCGTCTCGCGTTGCCTGCTCGGCAGCGCGCGCTCCTGCCCCAAGGCCCCCTCCTGGGGGGGGGGGTCTAGCGGGGGGGGGGGGCGCCGCCCAACGCAGACCCGAAGTGCTGCCCTCGCTCCCTTTGGCGTTGCAGTTGCCCCCTCACCCACTGTCGCTCGCCCCCCCCACCCCACCACCCCTCCCCTCCTCCCTCCCTCCCTCCCTCCCTCCCTCCCTCCCTCCCTCCCTCCTCCCTCCCTCCCTCCCTCCCTCCCTTCCCTCCCTCCCACCACCACCCCTGGGAAGGCAGTTCGGCAGCTCCACAAGTGCCCTGAGCCGCAGCACGGCCCCTCGAATCCCAACCTGATGAGTTCAAGGGAGCCGAGCTCAGATTCAACGTGCGTGATTAAGATTTCAGTTGAAAACCGACAGTTCGAGCTATGGTGTAATCTACGTCAACGCATCGTGACCTATTGCGTAAACCATTGAACGGGTAGTAGAATGTTCCATCGCACTCAGCCAATCTAGACGCGAGTTCACAAGATCTGTGCAAAGCGGGTCGGCGCATTCTAGATTCAGTCGAACTCCAAATGCACCACACGGTAATATTGCGAAGGCCTTGCGGCCGGTGCCGAAGACCCAGACGGGGGACGGCGGCGGCGGCGGCGAACACGACGACGACGACGACGACGCTGACGTGGTCAGAGTCCTCAGAGATGGTTCTTGGGGTCTCTTCGGAGCGCTCTCGGGGCCTCTGGAGGGCAGTTTGGGAGCCTCTTGGGGGCCTCTTGGGCCTTCCTTGGGGCCGTCGTGGGGGCCTGTTGGGCCGTCTTGGGGCCACCCTGGGGGCCTCTTGGGCCGTCTTGGAGCGTCGGGAAGCCGAGAAGGCGATAACGCCAAAACCGAACAAAAACTTTTGGAACATGCATGAAATTTACCTCGTTGGGCCCTCGTGGGAGTGCCCTTGGAGACTTCTTGAAGCGTCTTGGAGGCCTCTTGGGTTGTCTGGAATTGGGCGTGTTGAATCGACCGCTCGGCGATTCAAGGCCCTCTTGGACCGTCTTGGCGGCCTCTTGGGGCATTCTTGGCCCGTCTTGGGGCTTTTTGGAGATCCGGGCCCCCCCGGGGTCATGGCATTCTGACCAGGGACTCCCTCTTCTATCCCCCCCCAGGGAGTTCCCCCCAGGTCCCTTCCTAGGCAGTGAAGGGATCAAATTGAAGGGCTTCCCTTCGACTTGACTGCGACGTTCTTCAAATTCATTGCTCCTTTATTTCCTTGGGGCTGACGGCGACGACGACGACGAGGACGACGACGACGACGAGAATTCAAACGGGCTTCCTGTCCCTTAGGGTCGCCTAGAGTGCCTTAGAGTCCTCGGGAGCCCTCCAGAGCATCCGGCGCCGCCGTCGCCGTCGGTGTCGCCGTCAGCGTCGTTCTCGTCGTCAGCAGCCGCCACCATCGCAAGTTTAATAACAGCCGCCTCGGCAACTTCTTATGCCTTTCTTCATAACCACAGCGCGCCCTCCTCCGTGGCCATTTTGATTGAAGTTGGCTTGGCCCAGCCATTTCCGCTCATGCCGTTTGGGCTTACGTGGCCAATGTCCTTTCATTGGTCTTGGCCGTGCAAGTTTACATACAGTCAAGATTGAGGGGCTTGATGTCCCAGCCAAACTGGAGAAGCGGATTATTCGATGGCGATGGGGGCATGTTTGTAAGAAACGTCAGTCATACTCAGCTCCTGCCTTGCCCATTGGTTTGGATCTTCTCCAGAGTCACTTCAAACGCTCAGCCAATTCAAGTCTGTGCATGATGGGCACATCCGCGACACTGGTCGGCTCATCTCAGGACATGCAACGAAGGGGATTGGAGAGCCTCCTGGGGCCACCTTGAGGCGGAGGAGGAGGAGGAGGAGGAGGAGGAGGAGGAGGAGGAGGAGGAGGAGGAGGAGGAGGAGGAGGAGGAGGAGGAGGGAGGGTCGTAAAGTTTCCTCCCCCCTCTGGGGCCATCGAAATCGCCCCTTGGGGCGTTCTTGGGGCCCTCGTGGGGCGACCGTGGGCGCTCTTGGGGCAGTCTCGGAGGCCTCTTGGGCCCTTCGTGGAGCTCTCGTGGGCCATCTCAGGGCCATCTTGAGGCCTCAAAAGCGCATCGGAAGCGAAAAGGCGAGAGAAGGCAAAGACCAGTGGTTTTCTTCAAAAGTTTGAAGAATTTCTGCTTCTCGAGGAGGTCCTGAGGGGTCGCCAAAAGCACCTGGAGCCGTCTTGTGGCCCTCTTCGGGCCTTTTGGAGGCATATTGTCAGCTATCTTGATCCAGGTTGGGCTATCGTGAGCCATCTTGGAGGCCATCTTGGGTTCTCAGAGGCCCTATTGGAGCCATTTTGGGCCATCTTGGACGCTCTGGCCGCGGGGGAGGGGCCAAAACACCCCCTGGACAGCAAGCCGTCGAGCTCACTCCCCCCGCCCTCCCAACACATGAATAACACCCGAGCCTCACCATGTTCAGCGGTCGACTTTGGATGGGCAGCTGCTGGGAACTAAAACCGACCAAATGTCCGCGACGCTGGGGCGAGGTGAGCCACGTGTGCCAGGCGCGCCACGCGCGCCAGGCACCCCTGGGGCCCGAGCGTGCCAGGCACGCTTGGTGCGCCAGATGCGCCACGTGCTCCGCGTGCGCCAGGTGTGCCGCATACTCCAGCCGCGCCAGGTGCGTCACGTTCGGGGCACGCGCATAGTGTGTCAGGTGCGCCCCCACGTCGGGACAGCACACATCAGGCATGCGTGACAACACACATCGGGAAACACGTCGGCCCCCACCATCCATGTCGAACAGCAATGCCCATCACTGTGTCTAGTAGGCCTGCGCACAGCAGGCCATACACCACCACCCCCGCCGTCCCTGTCAACATCGACTTGGCAGTGATCGCGGGGTGGCCGCGCATGATTTGGATTTAGCCGCGGGGTTTTCAAGGTCTCCAGCAGCTTCGCGGATGGTAGGCGGTCAGTTTTCAAAACGCGGTTCTCGCATCAATGCATGAGTTCGCCTTACCAGTGTCCGACAGCTTCACGGATGGTGGGCGGTTGGTTTTCAAAATGGGTTTCTCGTTTGAGAGTTCTTTCAATCACCATGGCCGCACGGTCAATATTGCGCAAAAGATGCACGCATCGAGGGCGGCTGGTTTTCAAAATGGAATTCTCGCTTGAGACATCTTCAAGCCCCATACCCAGCTATAGCTTCACGAATGGAGTGCGCACTGTGTTCAAGATGGCCAGAAGATGTATAACTATAGAAAAGCATCACGGATGGAGGGCGGCCCCGATTCTGGATGGGGTTCTCGTCTGAGGTTGTTTCTCGAGTGTTATAATCATGTTTTTAACATGTGCAATACGTACACGGATTGAGGGCATTTTTTCTCAACAGGATTATCGTTGGGCGTTACGTCACAGCATGTTCAACATAAGTATGCTCTTCGTGCAGTTAGAAGGATTGAGGGATGGATGAGTTTCAAAGCGGGGCCCTCGCATGATGGTAGGCCCATGATGCGCTGGTCGTTAAGGGGGGGGCTCGCCGCATTTCAAAGGAATGAGTCCAGGGACCTGTGAGGAGGGGACTTGGAACGGGGGGCTCATTTAGGCGTCTCTGACGCATCCTGAGGTTACTCCTCAACCTCTGACTGGGTGCAATCGGGACGACCGCTCCCCCGCACAGGCCTCATCCTGCAGGCGCTGGCGGACCTGTGCTCCCCGGGCGCGCTGGCTGACCTGAGGCGCAGCCTGCTGGAGGCCGCGGGCGGGGGGGAGGAGTCAGGAGGAGGAACGAGGAGGAGGAGGAGGAGGAGGAGGAGGAGGAGGAGGAGGAGGAGAGGGAGGAGGAGGGGGACGAGGAAGGGTTGGGGAAGAAGTGCATGGAATTATCTGTCAGGCAGGAGGGAGAGGAAGAGGCAGAGGCACGTGGGAGAAGGGAGGAGCGAGGAGGGGGGAACAAGGCGCGAGGAGCGAAGAAAGAGGAGCGAGGACAAAGGTGGATGAGGAGGAGGGGTGAGGAGCGATGAGAAGGAGCGAGGAAAGGGACAGGGAGGAGGAGGAGGAGGAGGAGGAGGAGGAGGAGGAGGAGGAGGAGGAGGAGGAGGAGGAGGAGCTCGAGTCGCGCGCAGCCGTTGCCCGGACGCCTCCCTCCTCACCCGCTCTTCCCCCTTCACCCTTGCGTTCCCTCCCCCAACTCCGGGGCCATGGACGACGAGGGGGGGGGAGGGGGGGCGACGTGAACGAGGGGCGCAGGCGGCGGCGGCGGCAGGCGAGCGCGGACGCGGACGCGCCAGCCGCGGCGGGCGCTGCGGCGGCCGCGGTGGCGCGCTGGTTCGTCTCGGCCCCCACTTCGAGGAGCCTCGCCATGTGCGCAACGTGCCTGGGGGAGATACCCGCAATGGTGCCCCGGGAGCGGCGCGCGGGGGCAGGCGCGCGGGTGCATCATATCGGGTGCGTGGCGCTTTGGTGCGGGCCACTTCAGCAACTGGCGGGGTGGCGCGCCGTCACTCTGGACAAGCAGGCCGAGGCGCAGGCCGCGTGCGCGGCTGGCGCACTGGCGGGCAAAGGAGGAGGACCAGGAGACGGAGGGGAAGGAGCTGGAGCTGGAACCGGAGGAGCGGGACATGCCAGCTGGGAGGGGGAGCTGTCGGTGCTGCCGCCGCGGACGCCGCGCAGGTGCAGTACGGGGAGCTCTTGCGCATGGAATTCTGGGACATGGTTTCTTGGGACTCCCTGCGCGACCCAGTCTCCACGGTGCGCGCGGCGCCGTCGGCCGTCCAGTACGCCATCGCGGACCTCCGGAAGGCCCTGGCCGACGCGGCGCTCGGCGCTGGCGGGGCGCCAGAGGAGGCGCGGCACCTGAAAGCGTCCCTGATCGTGGACAGGCTGCTCTTCGCGTCGTCGTCGAGGCGGTGGAGGGGCGTGAGGAGAGGTCAGCAAGGGGAGACGCTGGCGCGAACTCTGGTTCGGCGCGTCAGGCTGGCATGGGAAGGGGCGTGGAGCGTCCTCTGGCTGGAGTCCGAGGCCCCGGGTCGTGGACAGGGCGGGCCCGCCAGGACGGAGGCGCAGCAGCTGGCCATAGACATGGCGAGCGTGGCCTCGGCGCTCGCTGAGGACGACGGTCGGGAGGCGTTGCGCGCGGTGGACGGCAGGATCCCCATGACGCCGGACGCGAAAGCCAGGCGCTGCCTCCCGGCTCTGTTCCCGCAGGCCGCTTCGCAACCAGCGTTCCCGGTGGGCGTGCCAGGAGACGAGGACACCGACCGCTTCCTGTACGAGTTGGGCCAGGCGTACCCCCGCGCCACTCGGAACAGGGGCGCCGGCCCTGGCGGCGCCCGAGGCGAACGCTGGTCGTGGATGCCTGGGCACGCCGAAGCGTGGGAGAGCCGCGCGCAAGTGTTCCTCCACCTGCAGCTGGGGCGAGCCGCGGGAGAAGCGCACAAGCCGCGGCTGTCCGCGCGGATCCTAGCCGGCATCCGAAAGCCAGACAAGGTCCAGCCCTTGGCGTTGGGCAACTTCCACAGGAGGGCCGCTTCCAAAGCTGCGAGCCGCGCGTTCCGAAGCAGAGTGGCGGCAGCGCTCGGAGTGACAGAGTATTTTGTTGGGGACGCACGTGGTCCGAGCGCATGCACCAGGCTGCCTTGCTGGACCTCGACAGCCGACCGGGCTGTTGCAAGCTCAGCTTTGACGCGAGCAACGCCCACAACGAGTTCAGCCGAGAATCGGCTGCGAGAGCGGTCCGCGAACTGGTCCCTGACATGCTCCCTTGGGTCCGCCTTAGCCTCTGCACCGACACCGCGCGCGTGCACGTGGCCAGAGTCGGCACGAGAACCCGCCCACCCAAAGAGCGTGCTGGAGAGCCGAGCCGGCGCCATTGCCACCAGGACGACCTGGACATGATTTGCGCCACCGCCGCCGCCGCGCAGCCCGCCGAGGAGGCGTTTGCGCGGGCCTGTGCTGCGGCTGGTTTGCGCGGCAAACCGGCGAAGACCAAGCTCAGCCCGGGGCGGGAGGCGGACGTGGCCTGGAGCTTCGGGCGCTGGCGCACCGGCACGGAGGGCCCTCCGCGGCGGGCGTGCCCGCTGCCCCCGCGGCCGCCCCGGCCGAAGGCAGCCTGCTCCCCGAAGGCGCCCCCGAGGTGGCGGCCTTGGCACAGAACCGCGCCTGCTTCTTCCCGCGGCTCCATCAGCTGCAGGCCGCCGGCCTAGACCAACATATTGTGACGGCGCTGCTGTGGCACATAACGGCCTCGGACATCACGTTCCTGGCCCGCGCGCGCGGACCCCCTGCGGCCGAAGCCAGGGCGCTGGGCGCGGCGCTGGCCGCGGAGGCGCAGGGCGCCCTGCCGCGCGGGCAGCAGCTGGACGGGCACGCCCACAGGCAGCTCTTCCTGAGCGGACGAGACGGAGCTCGGGGCTACAGAGCGCAGAGCTGACGGCGTTGGCGGCGCACGCCGCCTCTTGGCACGTCTGCTTGTCGCACTGCCTGCGCCGGCTTGGCCTCACGGACGCGAGCGCCCTGGCCGCCCTGAGCCCTTGGGCGCGCCGCTGCCTCCTCCCAGCGGCCACCGCCACAAAACAGACATCGCTGGAGGACGCGACCGCCCAGGTGGGCGACGAGGCCCCAGCGGCAACGCAGCATTCCCTGGCTTCGGTCCCACTTGCTGCGGCTGCCCGCCTGGTCGCCGGCCTGGCCCGGCGGCGGGCGAGGGCCCGGGCGCGGCTCCTCGCGCTCGGCCGGCGGCACAGGGGCGAGCAGCTGGCTGCAGGCGCCCGCGCGAGCCTGCCACTGCCTCACCGGCGCGCAGTTCGGCATCGCGACGGGGGCCCGGCTGAACCTCGACCTGCCGTTCTGCATTAGGCCCCGCTAACACAGGCGCCCAGACGGCAGCGTCTGCGGCGCGCCGCTGGACCCGAAGGGCCGCCGCGCTCGGAGCTGCCCAGTCGGCGGGTGGCCCGTGCGCCGGCGCGACGCTGGCTGCGCGGCGCCGGCAGAATGGCGCGAACAACAGGGCTGGACCGTGCACCGCGAGGCCGTGCTGCCCCACGCCTCGCCGCAGAGCCACGAAGCGCGAATGGATCTCGTGGCCCGCGCGCCAAGCGTCCCGGCGCCACTCCAGAACGACCTCGCGGTCACGAGCGCAGCCTTGCAGGACGCCCTGGCAAACGGGGCCGCGAGGCGGAACGTAGCGGCTGCCGCCGCCGCGGAGCGCCGGGAGCGAGCTCGCTACCCCGGCGCGCTGGCGATCCCGTTCGTCGTTGAAGACCGCGGGAGATTCGGCGAGGACGCGGCTGACATCGCGCGTCAGCTCGCGCCCGCGGGAAGCGCGGCGCGTTCCGCTTCCAGAGCCTGAGGAGCGCGTTGCAGCGGCACGCCGCGGACGCGGTCCTCTCGGCCACGCAGGCGCGGCCGCGGCGAACCGCCGCCGCGCTCGCGCCGGCGCAGCACGGGGCCGCCGCGCCGCCGCCCCGAGGGCCTGGAGCGCCGCAGCCAGGCGCAGGCCCAGGCTAAGGCCGCGCGAGCGCCGCCGCCAAGCGCCAGCCACTGGGGCTAGGGCCGCGGGCGGGCGCCGCGCTGGGCCACTGGGGCAGGGAGGGCGCCGGACGCCGCTTCTGTCGAGGGCGGGCCCCGGGCGCGGGGCTGGCGAGGGCGCAGGCCGGCGCCGCGCCGCGGCTGCGGGCGGCCAGGCTGGCGGCGCGGGGGCGGCGCGGCGCTGCCGGGCAGGCGAACGCCGCGGGGCTGGGCGCGCGCCGGGCGGGGCCCCGGACGACGTCTGCGCCGAGGCGGCGCGCTGGAGACCAGCAGGCCGCGGGCGGCGGCAGGCGTGCGCGGGGCGCGGGGCAGGCGCGGCGGCCGCTGCCGGCGGCGCGGCGGGCGCCCAGCGCAGCCGGCGGCGGGGGCAAGGCTGGCGCGCAGGGGCGGCGCGGGGGCGGCCGGGGCGACTGCGGCGCTGCTGGGCCGGGCGGCGCCTGGCGGTGGGACCGCGCTGGCGCTGCACTTTCCGGAGGAGCTGTGGCGCCTGGCAGAGAGACCGCAGGCCGCTGGCCACGCGGCCTGCTGCGCGTCGCCTCCGTGCTCCCGGGCACGCGAGGTAGAGGCACACCCCCTCGGCTCCGGGGCCTGCTAGCCTCTGAGCGGCGTGCTTGTCCTGGGGTTGGGGGGTTGCGCCGGCCCCCGATCAAAATGCTTCCGGCGCGCGGCAGACACGCGGCCGCCGGAAGAGGAGGAGAAGGAGGGGAGCAATGGGAGGAGGAGGCACGGGGAGTCAGAGTTTTCAGTTAAATGAGTTCGAGGGGCTGGAGGTGCGGCAGGAGCGGCGCTCCCTGGGCGTTCCGCTGGAACTGCGGCACCGTTTGCCGCAAGCCGTCAAGGGGGAGGACGAACTTGGAGGCATGATGAACACCAACTCGTGTCGTCTTGAACAATACTGTGGAATGTTGAAGGCCGCCTTGAGTTATCTGACACTAAGTGTGGGCCATATTGGGCCATCCTGGACGCTGTAACCCCATCGCGCCCCCCCCCCGTCCAGACCCACGGGAGAGAGGAGGGGGACGAGGGTTTAAAGCCATACCCGTAGGGAAGAGAGAGTTGAAACAGAAGCGCCTCAAACCACATATGCCCAGAGGGGTGGTAGATTCGGCGATCGACTTCCCGATGGAACTCCACACGGCCTCACCGGCTTCACGTGCACAGTATGGTGCATCCACTTGCCTTCTTGCGCCGCTGCCCTCCAGAAGTGGGACGGGGAGCAGCGGCAGCAGGAGGAGGAGGAGGAGGGAGGGGTAAGAAGGCGGTATCTAAACTCATAGACGGCCGTTTCCCCCCAGGTCAGGAGGCCTGGCCAGACGAAGTGGGTCAGGGGCAGGGAGCAGAGGAGCAGGTTTGCAAAGCGCATGTCGCCCCTCCGCTTCATGCGCGGATCTTGGGACCCGAAGTGTGCGCCATCAGAGTTCACACCGCGCGACAGGCCACTTGACGCCCCCAGCCTGGCGCGCCCAGCGACGGTCTGAACCGCGCGTGCCGCCGCGGGGCGAGCAGTTTTCACAGCGTTTTCCCATGGCCCGCTCCCTCTCTACCCTCTCTCCCTCTCGCGGCCTCTCAATATTTTGGTTCACTCCCTTCCCCCCGCCCCCTTCCCTTCCCTCCCTCCCATCCCCTTCTCTCCCTCCCATCCCCTCCTATCTTCCTCTCTCCATCCCCCTTCCCCCTCCCCTCCCTCTCTCCGTCCCCGTTGTTTCTTGAGGCCAGCACCATACCATCCTATTTCCTTGTTGTTGTATCGTTGCCATGCAGCGTCTCCATCGGCCTCCTTGGGGAGGATCGAAGCGTTGGGAAGTTTGGGATCGTCTTGAGCCTCCAGGGCCCTCCGTGCGAGACCTCCGCAGAATCACACCACAACTTGGTCGTCGGCTGCTTGTCGACGCCATTCGATCAGTTGTGCTGCCCTCGGTTTTAATCCGTTCCTCCGCGCATGACTGAAGGCAACCTATCCTATGATTCGAGTTTTTCGAGACATGAGCCCTTGCACTTCTCGACGCCTTTCCCGAGGCGTATACTCTTTGTTAATTGATTGTCTGTCCCCCGCCCGTGGCATCCTTCCCAACACACTCCAGCCGCGTTTTTACTCGTCGATTTTTGGCAGGAGGAGGACGAGGAGGGCTTAGATGTAGAAGAAAGAGAGGGCCTTTGCTAGTCAGCCCGTATTGCCATGCGAGCCTTCCCTGCCTTTAGTACCATAGGCGCGCGTCCGGTGCGATTGCAAACTGAGCATACCCAAGACGGGAGTGCCTTTGCACATCGAGCGCTCAACAAGTCTCTACTTCGCGCCGTGGTATGCATTATGCATGAACGGCGGGATAAGAGTGTCTGACCGAGAAGCAGGTGCACACGTCGAAATGTTGCAGGAGATGCGCGAGCGTACGCATGTGCAGTTTCAGAAATGCGTGCACGCATTATCCCAGCACGACACCCTGGTGTTTAGCCGGTGACCATGCGATGCAATCAAAATTGTGCAGTGGGCAACACGACATTGCCCAGCTTGGGTCTGCGCGACCGTACCATGATGTGGAAAATGAATTCCGACACGCTGCTTTCGCATGAGACCGTCAAGATAACCATAAGCGAATATAATAAGGTAAATTTGTTACGATGGCCCCGCTAAACCTAGGTACTTCGATCCCAGTTGTGCAACTACTCGCACATGGTGACTGACGCGCACATTTGACCCATTGTCGGTCGAGAGGCAGGATGACATGTGATTCGGATAGCCTTGATGTGGAGACACACCATCATTTCAAACTGTGATGGTTGGAGTGCCCTGCTTCGGCTCACAATGGTCGGCGGGTTTTTGCGACGAGGGTTCGTGGGGTGAGTGCCGAGTTCGCTTTCAAGACAGGAGAACAGAGAAGAGGGCAGGCGACGGCGTCCCAGGGGTTCTCGGGTGGTCTTAGGGGTTGTGGAGGATCCATTCATCTACCTTCTGGATCCCTTTCTGTTGGCGTGGAAGCTTCGTGGAGCTCATTTCCTCATTGGGTGAGTAAATACCAACAGTACTTGATGTCGTGGACTCCCCACAGGGAACGGGATCCACTGGGGCCGTGGATCTGCAAAACAATGCTATGATTCTTCGGGGAGAGGGGTTCCCTGTCAATCGGCCCGTCTGTCGATCGTCGTCGCTGGTCGGTCGGTCGTTCGGCCAGCTGTCGGTCGGTCGGCACGTCGGTCCGGCGGTGGTCGTCATCGGTCGGTCGGTCGTCGTCGTCGTCGTCGTCGTCGTCGTCGTCGGTTGGCCTGTCGTTGTCCTCAGCTGCGGCCGAAGGATAAAACAAAATCCGGCCTGCGGCGGCGGCGCGAAGCGGGCACCCATCATTCTGCTGAGCACTGCAATGCACAATGCCGCAGTTCTGGTGCGTGTCGAGGTGATCGGCGTCGGAAGGCTCAGCGTCCACCTGCTGATGCCCATCATTGTGGCCAGCGTCGTAGCCGTAGCATCCGTTTCGGTACCTGCCCATCCGTTTCGGTGTTTGGCCGTCCGTTCTGGTACCTGAAACCACAGCTTTTTTTCTGTATTTGGAGGCATCCGACTCGGTACTTAAAGCCATCCGTTTCGGTCCCTGCAGGCATCCGTTTCGGTACCTGCTAACATTCGTTTCGGTACTTGAGGCCATCCGTGTCGGTACTTGGGGCCATCCATCCCGATACTTGAAATCATCCGCTTCGGTACCTGAAGCCATCCGCTTCGGTACCTGAAACCATACGCTTCGGTACCTGAAGTTTGACGCTTCGGTACCTTAAGCCATAAGTTCTGGTACCCTTGAGGCGACCCGTATTTATAGTTGAAGCCTTGTGTTTCGGTATTTGTAACCATCCGTTCCGGTTTTTCGGGTTTTATGTTTCGATCTCCGGTCTATTTAGGGCCATCCGTTTGGGCAATTAGGGAAAACCATTTCGATCATTGTGACCCCTCGTTCTCGCTCGTACTCCCTCCCTCGATCAGCCTCAGCGTGTCGGGGTGGGTTCAGCTCGGAGAACTCGATCGAAACGACCGATGCCCTGCTATCGCGGTCAATCCCCCGCTGCAACTGCTCTGGGAGATAGGCGCTCGTTTTGCTTGGGCCCGAACGCCGGCGCTGCAGGTCAGCATGTCAGCCCAGTGAAACAGAGGAAAGCGGGTTTTCCCCCCCAAATCACACTGATATTGTTTTCTCTGACTAAGCGTGCTTGCGAGCCGACGCTGGCTCAGTTCAACAACAAACAAGAAATATGTAAATCTGGAGGTGCCGCTCACTCAAGATAACTTGAGCGACTGTGTCATGTAGTAGCTTATCCCGTCGAGGATCGTCCGGCCGTCGGTGTTCTCGACCGACTCAAGAGTTCTTGTTTTTGCTTCTCGAGGCGGATAGCCTTGACCTCTGCGCGAAGCTCCTGCTCTTCGGACCACCTTGTCGTCTCTCGGTCCACGAGCAGTGTGTCTCACAGGCGGCAGCGCACCTTCTCCTTGTACTGGTTGGTGCCAACAGCCGTGAGCTGATTCGCTGGATGCATACATTCGTCTGGGTCAACTCTGCATGTACTCCGTGACTTGCCTTCTCCTTTCTCGTTGCCCTTGCCCTTCGGGATCTCCTCCGTGTCGCAATTAGCTCGACGGCATTTGCTGCATCCTGCGACCACCAGCTGGTACGCCTCTAGGATATCGTCCTCCAGCACGTCGCCCAGATCATGCTCCACCTGCTTGTAGGGCGCACGCTCCAAGCGCTCATGTAGTCTGCGAGCCTTATCCATTGGTAATTCCGTCGTCTTCTTCCTGGATGTCGATCCTCCGGACTGCTCAGTTTCGCCTGGGACCTCGACCCACTCATCGCCGTCATTCGGGACGGAGACGTTGTGATTGGCCTTTTTGCGAGTCCTCGGCTGACACTCGCACTGGACTACCACCATCCGGCACACCGCACACACCAGCAGCGTTGTACCAGCTCCAACGGCGCCTCCTCCGATCTCATCGTTCTCAGCACCTGCGGAGTCCATCATGTAGATCTCCTTCACATCGTCCAGGTCCACAGTACCGTCCGTATTCAGATTCTCGTCCGATTCTAAAAACACACCTCCGTCCGAAATGACATTAGCGTTCTCGTGGTGCTCGATGTCCTTGGTCATGTCCATTTTCTTCAGGTTGTGTTTCTCCGTGAAGTCCTTCTCGTAGCGCTCGAGAGCCTCCTTGGTCGGTGCGTATATCGTCAGCAACTTACGCATATGGGTCGGAATCCTCCAACGCTTCGCCACCTGGTCCAGTCCTGACCAGTCGACCATATCCTCGAGGTTCTCGTAGTAGATGTCGTCCTCGCGCTGGCCCAGCATCATCCGCCAGCGGAGATAGTGCTTGGGAGCAGGTCGAGCCGCATGCGCATTGTACCTCAGGTCTGCGATGCAGACCTCGAAGTATGTGCAGCCTTCCCGTACAAAAGGCTGGTCGGCAGGTCGATGTCGACGAGGATACTTCGAGCGATAGTACTCGCCCCTGCGACCCTTCATCTCCATCCGTTGCTCAGAAATGATGTGCTCCGCCCTGGGGTCCTCCGTCAAACGGTGCTCGCCCGTCCGGAGCACATACCTCATGTAGTCGCCCGCGCGGACGTCTTGCTTGGTAAGACAGTCGGCAAGCATTTGCTCGGTGTTTACCCACTTGCTCACCACGCTGTTGAACTCAATGTCGTTCCTGAGCGACTCGATGTCGATGAGCAGCCGCTTCTCGGGCGGAACCGCCCCTCGCTTCTGAAGCAGGTCGTAGAGCGACTTGCAGTCAGTGACCTCCACCATCTTGATCGCCTTTACGTCGTCCATGTGGGTCCGGTAGCCTAGCCAAGGGTGCAACTCCACCAGGTGTTGTGTCAGCATGTCACCACTCTCGACCGCCTCCAGCGCTGCCATCGTCTCGGCTGCCAGGGTACTCCGTACTACCCGCTTGATGCGATATGATCGCAACAGCATCGGGGTAAGCTGGCAGGCTTCCCGCGTGGGAACTGATCTTCAGTGTTGTCCGCGAGCAAGATGACCAGGCCCGCCTGGCTAGTTCGCCTCCTTTGTCTTCCGACGCTCAGCCGTGATGGGAATCTTCTCGATGCTCTCCGCGTACTCTTTCTGGCTCCACGTGATCGCGCCGTTGTCGTTCTGCCTGAGGAAGCGCCCGCAGTGGTGGAAGCCCACCTTCGCCGTCTGCCACTTGCCGCAGCAGTGCACCTTCCTCACTTTGGCCACCTGATTCGCGAAGAACTCGGGCGATCCCGCGACGAGGTCGTCGTCGACGCGCGCCCCGATCAGACCGATCAGCTTCCCCTTCTCATCGTGGAAGATGAAGAGGGCTGGGCACAGCTTGGATCTCGAAGCCCCGGGAAGCGACAGGATGGTGTCGCCATGCTCCTCGTACCACAACAGAGGCGCATCGTTCAACCCGTAGATGCCCTTCTTCGCCTTCAGGATAGC